ATAAATCAAAAATCAGCCGGGTGTGGTAGTGCGTGCCTGTAGTTCCAGCTACTTGGAAGGCTGAGGCAGAAGGATTGCCGGAGCCCAGTGGGTCGAGGTTGCGGTGGCCGTGAGCGGCCACTGCACTCCAGTCTGGGTGACAGAGTGAGACTCAACTCAAAAAAGAAAAGAAAAAGAAAAAAAGAAAACACTGGTGCGGTTGAAAGTCTTTAGCTATGACAACCTGAGACACTTGATGAGTCAGTGGACAGGGAGGGGCGCTGGCCTTGAGGTAGGTGAAATGCCAGAAGTAAGTGAACTTTGGCCTGAAACCATTGTGTCTTCTTTGCTTTATGGCCCCTGGTACAGGTCTGAGAGGAAGACAGCCCTGAAATATGGGGTACATAGGCTCACACGTGCTGTGTACCCGGTAGACGAATGTGCTGTTCAGGAGGTAGAAGAGGAGGACATAACCTCTTCACCCCAAGTCCCCAGAATCCCACCAGGGAAGTCTGGGTTGCAAGCTTAATAAGAAGTGACAACTTGCAACCAGGTGCCTTGGCTCACACCTGTAATCCCAGCACTTCGAGAGGCTGAGTTGGGAGCATCTCCTGAGGCCAGGAGCTCGAGACATACCTGGGCAACATAGCAAGACTTCATCTCTACAAACAATCAAAAAATTAGTGGGGTGTGGTGGTGCATACCTACAGTTCCAGCTACTGGGGAGGCTGAGGCGGAAGGAACGCCTGAACCCAGGAGGTCTAAGCTATGTTGAGCTGTGATTGCGCCACTGCACTCCATCTTGGGATACAGAGTGAGACTCCGACTCAAAAGAAAAAAAAGTGCCAACTTGCTTGATTCTCACAATGGTACTGGGGCTTCATTTTCACAATACTGGGAAGTATGTATTTCTATCCTCATTTTCCTGCCAAGGAAACTGAGGTTTACAGAAGTAATATTGCACACTTGGGGTCAACCAGTTAGTAAGTGAGCAAAGTGGGATTTTAACCTAGGATATGTGGTCCCAGAATCCATGCTCCTTCTACCATACTAAGCCAAAAGCCAATTCCAGAGCCAGAGCTGCACCTGTTTTTTGTTGACCACTGCTAACTTCTACCCTATGCAAGCCTTCTGGGGAAGTCAGGAGTAGAAATAGGTCCGAAAAAGTTTGCCAGATTTTTTATACAAAAATTTAACTGTAAAACATCCTACACGGAAGAATGTTCTTACTGTTAGTGTCATGCAGCAATGACCACCTGGGATGCTGTGCAGTCGTGAGCTCTCTGCCATGGGGAGGAGTCTCCAAGCAGAGGCTGGACAAGTACATCTGTCAAAAAACTTATCAGAGATTCCTGCATGACTGGCAAGGGTTAAGATTGTTTCCAACCTAGAGATTTGGGGATTCTCATGTGTGCCTTGCAAATATCTGAGGAGTATTCATGATGTGCCTTACTCTCCTATTTATAAAGAGAGGCTGAGGCACAGAGAGGTTAAGTGACTTGCCTAAAGTCACACAGAAATTTGGAGACACACCGAAACCAGGGATGCTCTCCTCTTGTGTTTTACAGTTCACAGCAGTCCTGGACAAGAGAAAGATAAGAAGCTTCACCACCATTTTCCAGAGGTGGAAACAGGTGAGAAAAGCTAAGCGTCTTGCCTGAGATCAGACAGCCAGGCAGTGATTTTTCTGACTCCACACCCCACCTTCTTTCCCCGGGTGTTGGGCTGATCCCAGGAATGAAGAGGCTGAGGGAGCCTGGGTTGCCATGGTGACGGTCTTTTCTTGCCAACGTTTGGAATCACACCTGCATGTGTGTAGCAGGGAACGACCAGAGCATGGGAGCATCTTTGCTCCTCTCACAGGGGAGGGTGCTCCTGGGAGGTGAAAGACCCTCCAGTTCTAGCGAGGTTAGCTTTACCATGTGCCAACACGTGTAAACAGTATCTTCCCTCGAGGGTGGGCAGTGGCTAACCCACTCACAGGTTATGAAGCAACTGGGCTTCAAGGTGTTGGGTCACTGAGGTCTCACCTTTAAGACCAGTTGGGATGGGGAGTCGAACCAGGGTGGAGATGTGCTGCTTTTGGAATTCTCAGTGAGCAGCTTAACTCCCTCACAAGAGTCAGCGGCCTTTCCCACAGTGCCCTGGGGCCAGGAGCACCTGACCCAGCTTACCTGTGCACTCTGGAGTCCCAGCAGGAGCTACTGCGGGGAAAATGCAAAGAAGTTGCTCTTATCACACAAATCATATATGCTCATTGTGGGGAAAAATGTTTAATGCAGACATGCAAAAAGAAAAATAATTAAAATGTCTTGGAATCTCTCTACCCAGAGACTGGCATTTGGTCTGTCTTCCTAAACTATAAATATTTTTATTCTTACTTATAGAGAGCCATACTATACATGCTATTTTAATTTGCTAATATATTATATATATTTATAACTCGCTAATATATACACTATTTGTAACAGTTAATATATTGTGAGTGTCTTTCCAGGTTAGTAAATATTCATTGATAGCCTAATTTTAAAAGTACTGTGGAGGCTGGATGTGGTTGCTCACGCCTGTAATTTCAACACTTTGGGAGGCTGGGGCAGGAGGATCACTTGAACCCGGGAGTTCCAGACTAGTCTGGACAACATAGTGAGATCCAGTCTCTAAAAAATAAAGAAAGAAAAGCAGTGTGGAAAGATATTGTAAGGTTATACCATTATTTATTGGTCAGGTACCCAACAGGGGTTGTCTATTTAATTTGTTTCCTTTGCTTTTCTAAATAATGATGCGATGAACAATCTCATGTTAAATTATTTGCCCATATTCTTAATTATTTCCCTTAGGATAACTTCCTAAAAGTGAGAATGCTGGCCAGAAGCATGCATATGTAAAGTCGTGTAAAGCTTACTATAATCGTGGCTTTAGTTTATTATTCATCTACAGTCAACCCCTCAGCTATTCAGGGATGGTGGTGCATGGCAGACCAAAGCCATGAACAAGATCATGGAAACAGTATTGCCATTTCCAGTGTGCTCCCATCTGAAAATGGTGTTACCTGGGAATTAGTAATCCTCTAGCCAGAGTCATGTAGCCAGGGAGGGAGGTGCAGGAAATTGTCTGATGTCTCCCTGTCTGGGGCTCAGTTTAACATTCTCTCCTGCTGCTCACAGGAGCCTCAAACCAAAGGATGCCTTTATCTCTGCATCTCCTTGCTTCTCTCCAGATCTCTGTGTGTTGGTGTATGTCTGTCTTCAAAGTTTCTGTCTTTCTTTATGTCACTGTCTGTCCCTTTCCTCTCCTCTCCTCTCTCCTACCTCCCTCTCTGTCTCACCACTCAGGAGAGAAACAACTAATCTTCTGGCTAAATAAGTCTAGTTGGTAGAAGGCAAGCGTTAAGCACAGCAATTTCTGGATGCTGAGAGGGGGGATATATTTAGCTTCCTTCTTTATACATCTCTGTACTTGCCAGCACCTTCTCCCATGTAAAGGCCTCCTTCCAAGCTACAGGCTGCCAGGCTCTGAGACACAGAGTCCCACACTGACCACAGCAAGGTGGGATTTAGAAGTAGGCCCACAGGCCCATTGTATCCTGCTCAAGATTGGCTGCTCCCGCCCCCAGCCCACTCTGGCCACATCCACTTCCGCTCTGAGAAGATTCTCTCAGGGAAAATCTGGTCTTCCCCCACCTTTCTCAATAGCCCATCACTGTGCTTTGCATGTAGAAGGTTCTTCAGAAACCTTTCCCGTCAGCTAGAAATTCCTCCAGGGCAGAGATGGACCATGCTCCATATGCTCACCAAACCTCCCACACTTGTTGGATGTTCAGTGTCTGTTCAGTGTGAGAACAGAGGAAAAAAACCTCAAGAGCAATGGAGATGCCCCAGGGAAGGGCTACTTAACCCAATTACCCAATCACAGCTTTGAAGGCAAGATCACTCCAGATGGACAGATAACAGAGCTAACTGTATTGATTAGTGTGGTCAACTTAACAGGTTTTATGAGTCCGTTGTGTGCCCCCCCCCCATAAGTAAGTTGTTGGAACTGGGAAACTTTGAAGGGCACTTGGAAACTATATTTCTAAGTTTC